TGGGGCTGGGAAGGGCACCCCGGGAACATAATATGTTCTTTTGCGGGTATTTCGGGTACGACCATACTTGGCCGAATGCACCATATCCCGTCCGATTTGTGAAGTTAAGCGGCCACAGGTCTCGTTAGCACGGCGATCGCTTACAGTGGTGGAACCCGGGGTGCCGTACCCTCCCCAACTTTTTTTTTGCCAACATCATGGGGTAGGTGCCGCGGACCTCTGATGCCAACCACGGCTCGCCTTTGGCAATGAGGGCTGTCCAATCGCGGCACCCAGCTTACGCACTTCCATCTCTCAGGGAAGCCAAACATACTTCACACATTGTTGTGGTGGGGCAGGGGGTGGGGTGCCAACAAACCAAAATACCTATGGGGCGAAATGTTTTTATTGTACACCATTTTTCCTTTTCTGCATTTCCCATGGATTTCCTTTTCACACCACACATGGCAGTAGCGGAACGCCTTAACACAACCATAGCAGAATTTGCCTTTATCATAGGGAAGGACTCACCATGTCACGAGGGAAACGGGGAAGGGTCATCTTTGCGGAATACCTTTCAAACCCATCTTCCCCAGCGTTGAAGTATAGGGAAAGCAAGAGTTTTCCACTATGCCCAATCCCACTCATTTTATAAGTGAAACACCCCAGGGAGCCACCCCCCACCTCTCTTTTTCTTGTTGCGCACAAGACGCTGTGACAAAGTTGGCCGCCCGCCTTGGGTTGTGGGGGTTGTGTTCTCTCCTCTCCCTTCTTGGGGTGAGGGGTAAAAAAAAAGAAAAGGGCAAAACCCGACAACGAGCCTCGAGCATTGCGCACGTAGACTGGTTGCCGGGTTTCATCCTTTTTTTTCCTCATCCTTACTCTTCTTTTTCTCTCAAGTTCAAAGTCCCTGAGCATGATATTTCAGGCCTCAAGGTTCAGCCGCCTCGGGACGTAAAGTGCCCCTCGAGCCCCGCCGAAGCAAAGCATGCCGCTTACACACAAACCCCACAGACGCCGCAGTGGAGTGGTCCAGCAACACAACGGTGTCCTTCCCACTCACAGTCCACACACACACAATGACAGTCTCACATGCTCATGTCAGAGAGGCACTACCGCATTCACTAAAATGTACACGGAGTCACACCTACAGAGAGGAAAAGAAAAACAAAAGAGCAGCAAAAGAAAAGAACAACAACAGGATACCAACAGCACACAAAGCATTCACAATACAATAATCACAGCTGCCACTCCCATCAGAGAAAAACATTCACCCACACCAGCACATCAACTCAACCCCCAAAAGAAAAAACAAACCCATTATGTGAAGCCGAAGCGGAACAGTCTCAGTCCACCTCCCCGCAGGTTGCAGTCACTCAAACAAGCCACACACCACACACCACAAGAGCAGAAATATGTTCGTGGTAATGCCGTGTGAGTGACACCACTGAGAGAGAAGGTGAGAACAAAGAAATGTGTTTTCATTACGTGGGCGGTGTGTGAGCAACAACCCAAACACACAAAGGAACTCGCAACAGAGGGGCACACTCAAACACTTACAACCCATCGATCTTTATACCAAAATAAAAATGCAGAAAAAGAGTGACTGCCTGAGGCAGACACAATAATAGAGCAAAGATGTAAAAACATAAAGAAATTCATTACTTACTGTGGCTGCGATGTCTGGACACAGTCCAATCCACCCCAAGGTTAACAACGGAAAATCATTGTGTACTGAGCGTGCCGTGCCCATATCTTTATTCTTGATGTCCCTGCAGCAGTTTGTATATAATGAAAAACAAAGAATCATTCCATAAAAATGAGCACACAAGATACACAAGGTGTATCGGAAACGCAAAAGAGAAACACACAGCTGCACATAATATGCAATGAAATTATAATGAAACGCACACAAGAGAAAAAGCAAAATAATAAAAACAAAACAAAAAGAAAGCCGTGATCACCATGTGAATATGTTCGGGAGGCAAGCAACACAATTCCCAGCAGTAGGTGTGTGTGTGTCTTTCGTACAGGGCGATCAGTGGGAATGATGCACACATGATGACAGTCCACACACACACACACACAAAGAGAAGGAAGGTTGGTAGTGTGCGTGTTTCTGTGTCTTGAACCTCCTGCCATTCTTCACATTTCAGTCACAGCAATTAAAACACATCGGGATTTCGTACCACTCCCATGGGTGAAAGCAATAGTTAGTAATATCACGGAACACACACACATCACCAAAAGGCCACAGTGAAGGGCGGCACAACAGAGCCCAGATAATAATGCGAACAAAGAAAGAGTACACTCCCCTCACAAAATGATGGTTTGTCATGTGATATGAGTGTCATAGGGAGTCCAATAGATTTGTTCAGTAAAAAAATGCAATCAAAAGACTTATCGAACTGAAAAACAAAAATATTTAAATTCAATAAAAAGAACAGTGACCTTACAATGCGCCCATGTCCACTCAAACAAAGGTTAACTTTGCAACTGTATCATGGGAACACCAATTAGCAAACGACAGTGCAACCCAACACACACATCAGAACAAAAAACAAAAAGGGACTGTGCATCAATGCAGGACTACTGCTGCCGTCTTTCTTTTTCTTTTTTTTCTCCTTCTCTTCCTTTGTCTTTTTCTCCAACTCCTGTTTAGCCTCGTCTTCTTTGATCTTTTTCTTCTCTTCTTCAGCTTTATTTCTCTCCTGTTCCATTCGCCGTTCTTCAGCTGCCTTTTTCGCCTCTTCTTCGGCCTTCTTTCTCTCCCGCTCCCTTTGCCTTTCTTCATGGAGGTTCCTCAACTCCTTTTCCTCCTCCCTTTTTTTGCTCTCCAGATTCTCTTTCTCCTTCTTCTTTGCCGCCTCCACCTTCTCCGCAAGTTTGGTTGTGTTAATTTTCCTCTTTTTTGTTGTGTTTGGGAAGGCAGCTCCCGCAATCGCGCTCGCAGACGTTCGTCCGACAATAAGAACACTCGATTTCACTCCTCTCGTGTTATAATACTCTGAGTACACCAACTCACCTTCCAGTGTTTCCTGAAGAAGTTTGTAGAATTCGTTCACCTCCTTTCCATACCCCTCATAATCTGGTTTAAATTGCCCTCCCACATTATCGAACAGTTCCAACGCCCTGATAATCCTGTTCTTCGTAGCGATTACACCATTACTTACTTCCTTCGCGCAGGCGTGACTTCTTCGTTTGATCACTAGGAGCTTATGATAAACCTCATTCATTTCTTTATATACTCTCTTGCTCCTCTTAATAAGCGCTTCCTGTTCCACCGATCTTTTACCTTCATCCACTCCCTCAAGCACTTCTGTACTTTGATTCCTGCTATCGTTTTTATTCTCCAACATATCTCTCATGTTTATCATCGCGAGTGCACTCATTCGAAACAATTTTCTCGCTTCTTCGACTGCATCCGCCGCCTTATTAAGCACACTCACATTTGTTTGTATCTTACCCGTAGCATCCCTCAAGAGATCTCGAATTTCTTGGGGCACTGGATAGTTCTTCTGGTATTCCTCAGGTTTTCCCCTCACGGTGATAATTTTCTTGATGAGTTTTTTCGTTCCTTCGTCGACGTCCCATGCAGCATTGGCTCTTGAATTACAAGACTCCACTGTGGTTCCCCATACTTCTTGATAGGCCTTTCCTTCCGCAAGATACCCCTCCGACTTGTTTACCCAGTTTTTTAAAAACTGTTCTGCTTCCTTAACTCTATTGCTCGAAGATTCTTCCGCATATGCCACACAAGTACAGCACTGCAGAAGTACCAACAGGTACACCACACGGCGCAGTTGGACGAACATCGTTGTCATGATTGTCACTGTGGGTTGTTTGGGTCTGTGGTAACAAGGAAGAAGGGGAAAAGGAGAAAAGAGACGCACATTTAACAGACTGAGAAACAACAACAACGCAGATGGAAAAAGAAAGAAAGAGAGAGAGAGAGAGTACACATCACATCAGCAATCAAACACAACTCAATGAGGGAGCAACAATAAACCACTCACACAACAAAACACACCCAGAGTTACACAGATATTGAAACAACACCTTGAACTCAGAAGTGGAAAACGAATGGTATCAAAACAATATTCCCATTATAATAAAACCATTACCAGGCAGTTTGAACACCAAAATACACCAAAAACACAGTGTACGCCTGGCAACATACAAAAACAACACCACAAAACAATAAGCAAAACAAAGAGACTGTACAATAGTCAACACACTTCCAAAGGGAAAAAGAAAAGAAACCAATGCATCACCATAATATTTATACCAACACCACAATCGGAATCTAAAACCCACTCACTCACAACCATAACGAAAATGACTGCATACACCACTGTAATACCATGCCTCTCTTTACAAACGGAGGCAACACACAATTACTCCCTCACAAACACACATATTACCTTTTTATTTTTCCTTATTACTATTATTTTATTTTTCCCTCAGAATGCCGATTTGCCCCTTCTTCTCCCACAGCATTATCAGCAAAAAAAAATCACTAACCTCCCCCAAGGTGTGTATTAGGAGGGTACAATCCAACATATCCCCTTCCACACCACCACGTTTTTCCTGCTGCTCTTCGCTTCTTTATGGATGTTACTCCAATGGAACGGGTCATCAAGAGTAATACATAAATATACATAAATACAATTTGTTTTTATATTATTATTTTTTATTACCGTTGGGCATGGGGAGTACGCATTGGTAATGAAATTATAATGGATCTCGTAGGTGGCAGAACATGGTTTTTTTTTTTTTTTCGCCTCTCTGAGTCCCCTCAGCGGCCATATCCAATTTCCGCCACTAGAGGACATGGCTGTTACTATCTCTAGGGTCCCTTCCACTCCCTTTTTTAGCAGCAGTCACGCTAAAGTGAAATATATAAAAGAAACTGCTGCCGATGGTACACTGATACGCACCCCAGGATCTTCTTGCATAAAGTTTTGTCCCAGCACGATTCTGCTGGTCCCGGTGCTGTATGACGTTTTTAGCTTATGAAGCAGTAAACTTTAAAGAAGAGAATTTACTGGCCCATGGCTTCCCTCAAAATAATAAGGGATAATGGGCCTTGGCTCCAACTTTCGATGGCCAAACGCCAACAAGGGAATAGCATTCCTAAGAACGCATGTGTTGAAAAGAAAAATAAAAAGAATTTGGTTTTTAAGGAGACCACCCACTTCAAACATCTGGTGAGTGCATTTAGTTTCCTTGAATAAATTCATCTACTCCACCTTGGCACCGCGTTGGGAAGGAACTCATTACCAAGGATCTGTTTCTGTACAATTCCTACCCCTCGCAAACACCATGGAAGTTATAAATGAAATGTAAAAAAAAACTCATAACGTCACTCTTATTGGACACACAATCATTCAAAAGTCTAGTTTTATGGTTTTGTTTCCTGCGTTTATACAAATATCGAACCCAATGATTCCGCCGCTCTGTGGTAATATCTCTCTTTTGTGCAGAAAACGCGTGAACCACAGTGGAAGAATACCATCACCAGCACCCACCACGCTTTATATACTTAAGGGGTTCTTTGCTGGTAAAAAGTTTTTTTTTTATCCTCACGTTTCTTGCTTCGCAATAAGATAACATGGCGTTTTCTATCGCCACTATTTCTTGAATTCGAGGTTTTTGGTTCGGGGGAAGCAGAGGTAACAACAACAACAGAAACCCAGGTAATGGCGAACCCCGCACGCATCCACAGACACTGCCCCGAAGAACACCATGGAGGATTCTATTGGTGAATATGGACATGATCGTTTATTACTCAATCTTCCCACGCCACATAATGACACAGAAGCGCTTTTGTTTGCAACAGCGTTGCTTAGGGCAGAAGCCGACGTCAGTGTGGCAATCTTTTCTTTTTTTTCTTTACAGATTACAATATTTCAACAGATCGCCATTTAACGATAAAAAGATCTTTGGTGATCGGGTGCTAACTTATCTTCGCGTCAAGGCCAAACACTTGAATATATTCAGGGAAAGTAAACATACTCCATACATTGTTGGGAATCTCCTCATAAACCAAAATACATGTGAGACGAAATGTTTTGTTTAGATTTCACCCCTTTTCTGCACTTTCTATGGATTTCCTTTTCACACAACCATAGCAGAATTTGCCTTTATCACAGGGAAGGAAGGGCTCACTCTCATGTTCTTTGTTCACGGCGCCGCGTGCCACCGAGTAAAAGGTGCGGTTGGATGGCCGCCATGTCACGAGGGGAACGGGGAAGGGTCATCTTAGTGGAAAACTCTTTCAAACCCATCTTCCCCAGCGTTGAAGTATAGGGAAAGCAAAGAGTTTTCCACTATGCCCAACCCCACTCACATTTCATAAGTGAAACACCCCAGGGAGCCTCTCCCCACCCCTCTTTTTCTTGTTGCGCACAAGGCGCTGACAAGTTGGCCGCCCGCCTTGGGTTGTGGGGGTTGTGTTCTCTCCTCTCCCTTCTTGGGGTGAGGGATAAAAAAAGAAAAGGGCAAAACCCGACAACGAGCCTCGAGCATTGCGCACGTAGACTGGTTGCCGGGTTTCATCCTTTCTTTTCCTCATCCTCACTCTTCTTTTTCTCTCAAGTTCAAAGTCCCTGAGCATGATATTTCAGGCCTCAAGGTTCAGCGCCTCGGGACGTAAAGTGCCCCTCGAGCCCCGCCGAAGCAAAGCATGCCGCACACACAAACCCCACAGACGCCGCAGTGGAGCGGTCCAGCAACACAACGGTGTCCCTCCCACTCACAGTGCACACACACACACAATGACAGTCTCACATGCTCATGTCAGAGAGGCACTGCCGCATTCACTAAAATGTGCACGGAGCCACACACCTGCAGAGAGGAACAGAAAAACAAAAGAAAAGAACAACAACAACAGGATACCAACAGCACACAAAGCACTCACAATACAATAAACACAGGTGCCACTCTCATCAGAAAAAAACATTCACACTCACCAGCACATCAATACACCCAAAAAAAGAACAAAAAAAACAGACCCATTACGTGAAGCCGAAGCGTACCAGTCTCAGTCCACCTCCCCGCAGGCTGCAGTCACTCAAGCAAGCCACACACAACAAACAACACACACCACAAGAGCAGAAATATGTTCGTGGCAATGCTGTGTGAGTGGCAACACCGAGAGAGAAGGTGAGAACAAAGAAATGTGTTTTCATTACGTGGGTGGTGTGAGTAGCAACCCAAACACACAAAGGAACACACAACAGAGGGGCACACTCAAACACTTACAACCCACCAATCTTTATACCAAAATAAAAATG